GAATCCTTCATTTTTATTCTTGATGCAGTCAAAGCTAAACTTATCAGCTGGAAAAACAAATACCTCTCTCCAGCTGGGAGAGAGGTCCTTATCAAATCGGTTTTGAATGCTATGCCAGTCTTCATTATGTCTTGCTTCTGCCTTCCTAAAAGCCTCTGTCAGGAGATATCAAAACTTTGTTCCAAGTTCTGGTGGAGCTCAGGCAATGATCAGAAATCAGGTATCCATTGGAAGGACTGGAAATTTATGACAACACCAAAACATTGGGGTGGCTTAGGATTTCAGGATGTCTCTCTTTTCAATGAGGCCATGATCATTAAACAAATCTGGAGAGTTGCTACACATCCAAACCTGTTGGTGAGTCAAATCCTTAAAGAAAGATATTTTCCTAGAGGTAATATCTTTGAAGCTCACAAATCCCAAAGCTCATCTTGGATGTGGAATTGTTGGATGAAAGTGAAAGTGGAATACCAAGATCAATTCAGAAAGGAAGTTGCTGATGGAAGGAACACTAGAGTGTGGACAGATACTTGGATCCCCAGTCTGCCTAAAGGTGTCCCTGTTGGAAATTCTGAGCAAAGACACACAGTCACTCATGTCTCTAAACTTATCAATGAAAATGGCAGAACCTGGAACTGTGAATTGATAAAAGAAATTTTCTCTGAATCTAAAACTGCTGCAATTCTGAGCATCAACACACTTCATCCCCTTAGGAAGGATAGATGGTACTGGAATGGCAAAGGGAAAGACCAATTCTCAGTGGCCAAGGCTTATGCTCACCTAATGCTTCACAAAACTTTGAGGATGGACAGAGCAGAGGGAAGCAAATCTGCAATCACAGACAAGGCAACAAGGGAAAGGTGCTGGAAACTGAAGATAAAAGGGAAAATTAAACACCTGATCTAGAAATGCTTCTCAAACTCCCTGCCAACAGGAGTTAACCTGAAAAAAAGGGGACTACCTGTTGATCATATATGTCACAATTGTGGTGAAGCACCAGAGACCATAGAGCACATTTTCTTCCAATGTCCCAGGTCAAAACTGATATGGAAACTTGCACCGGTGGATTGGGTAGGTTCTTTGACAGACACTCACAACTTTAGGGACTGGTGGTGGTGGCTTGCCTCAATGAACAAGAAAGAGACTTCAGAGCACAAAATACAGCTATCCATATACATTTTGTGGTGGATATGGAAAACAAAGAATCTATGGCTCTTCCAAAAAGTCTGGAGATCAGAAGCTGAGGTAATCAAATTGGCCTTGGCTGATTGGCTAGAGTTCTTGGGCTGCAACTCTCTCCCTTGAACTTCTGAATGGTTGGAGCAGACAGACACAAATGAAGCTTAGGTCCTTTGGTCAGTTGGTTGAGTTTGTGTCTTTTGTTCTTGCTGTAGTTGTTTCTGATCTTTATTTCCTCCCTGAGTTGTTAGAGTAAAGGTTTCAAATGGATGTGTTTGCCTTTACCTCTTAGTAGTTTGTATTGGGTTCTGTTTTTCTTAGTTTGCAGTCTAGCACACATTTCACTGTGGTGCTCCCTTTGTGTCAGTATTGGAGCTAGTTAGCTCTACGATTGTATTTCTGAACATTATTATCTATGAGAATTCCTATCGTTCCGGAAAAAAAAAAAGAAAATTAACTTTTTTTTTAAGTTATTGGATATAGGACATATACTGTAATTAAATTAATTAATTAGACATTTACTTCTATCATATAAAAATTATTACTTTTTCTTAAGTTATTTTTATGATTCACAATTAATTGAGATTTAAATTTTGTTTTAACCATGCAACGTTTACATTAGTAACATAAATAAAATAATATATATATATATATATATATTTGTGGCATATATTAAGAAAATAAACATAAATAAAAAAAATTGGTGTTTGTGATTTTAGAAAAAAAAAATATGTGCCAATCATATTTTTCTTCCAACAATGCAACTAAATATAGCGGGGGTGGCCCCCTACAAGTTCTTGAAGTCGGATGTCAGTCCGCTACGCCGGAAGGAAACTCATGCATGCCAGGAGGTGCTAACGACAACAAAAAGATTGAACGTTCTAGTAATAATATCTAATCCTAGAAAGGTTACAGCTCTGAATGTGCCAATCAACTTTAAGTTCCAACATTAGTCGTGACACATTTGAATATTTTGCTACCAAATATAGAATTAATTTAGTAACTGATCCAAAAAGTAAATAGTAAAATATATATATTAAGGTGTAACGGTTTTAGCAGATTAGTGAGTACTTAATTAAAAAAAATGTAACTCCTTTTGGAGGGAAATGAAAATAGGTTTTATTAAATGTTTTATTAAATAAATCAGCTAGTAATTATATATATATATATATATAGATTGGTCGATGTTTAGTAAAGATTTGGTCTAATCTCGGGTCGATCTCGAGGGAAGGCTATTCGGAGCTTTATCTACTAGTTGATTGTCCAAATCACAAAAAGATCAACTAAATCCTAAACATTCTAAGCAATTGGGTTGGAGGTTGATTAACACTAAACGAGCGAGCAATGAACTACGAGCAATATCAAATCACGAGCAAGTAGCAAACTAGACCATCGAAGTCTCATACCATAACCACAACGGGATGATAATCAATCGACATAAAGAATAAACGAGCTATGAGCATTAGATTGCTAACCCTAGTCATCTAACCCTAAGTGATTAAGCCTTAATCGGGTCTTAATCCTTAAACGAGATCAACAAGCAATTAACTTCTCTATTTACTCAAGCAAGCAGTCAAGTCCCGACTTTTCCTCCATCATCAATCAAACCCAAATTTACCCTAATAAACATTATAAGTAAAAACGAGGCAAAGATCGAAGTAAAGAGCTTTAAAACTAAATACCCATCCTTCCAATGTGTAGACGATGAAAAACAGAGTCAAAAGCTCAAAACTGGAAAGAAACCAAAGTCACCAGAAAATCTCCCGGAAAATAGCATGAACTCCTAGTCTAGAGAGCAAACATAAACATAAACTAAGTTCCCAAAAGGGAAAAATGAAATAATGAGTGATTGATGTTCAAAATGCAAAGGAAAAAAAATATTTATACTC